AAAAATTAAAAATAGCACTACCATATGATCCAGTAATTCCACTGCTGGGTATTGACCCAAAGAAAATGAAAACACTAATTCAAAAACACACATGCACCCCTGTGTTTATTGCAGCATTATTTAGAATAGCCAAATTATGGAAGCTGTGCAAGTATCCATCAATAGACAAATGGATAAAGAAGATGTGGTGTGTGTGTGTATTTAATGGAATATCACTCAGCTATAAAAAAGAATGAAATCTTGCCATTTGCAACAACATGGATGGATCTAGAAGATATAATGCTAAGTGAAGTAAGTCAGTCAAAGACAAATACCATATAACTTCACTCATATGTGGAATTTAAGAAACAAATGAACAGAGTTAAAAACAAAAAAGAAAGAAAGGAAGAAACCAAAAAAAACAGACTCTTAACTATAGAGAACAAACTGGTGGTTACCAGAGGGGAGGTGAGCAGGAGGATGGATGAAAGAGGTGAAGGGGATTAAGAATACACTTATCCTGATGAGCACTGCGTAATGTATAGAATTGTTTAATCACTATATTGTATGCCTGAAACTAATATAACACTGTACATTAACTATACTGGAATTAAAATTTTTAAAAAATGCCTTAGTTCATAGATATCTTCTTTTGTTCTTTCTGAAGAGCCCTCCCAATAACTCTGTTCTAGGCCACCAAGCTATAACAACGGAAACAGTCCTCATGAAGGTAATTAAGAGGTACAAACTTCTAGTTATAAATGTAAGTCATAGGGATGAAAAGTACAGCATAGGGAATATAGTCAATAATATTGTAATAAAGTTGTACAGTGACAGAGGGTGATGACACTCATCATGGTTGCACATTTCATAAAGTATATAATTGTCAAATTACTATGTTGTACACCTGAAACTAATATAATATTATATGTCAAGTATACATTAATAAAAAACAAAACAAAACAGTCCTCACCCCGAAAAGCACACAGTCTAGGAAAACAGAGATGTAAAAAGACGATTACAGTACCATGCTTCAGTGTTTTGTTTTTTAAGATTTTATTTATTTATTTAACTGACACAGAGAGAGAGACAGCTAGAGAAAGAACACAAGCAGGGGGAGTGGGGGAGGGAAAAACAGGCTTCCCGCCAAGCAGGGAGCCCAATGTGGGGCTCGATCCCAGGACCCTGGGATCATGACCTGAGCTGAAGGCAGCCGCTTATCCAACTGAGCCACCCAGGTGCCCCCCCATGCTTCAGTGTTAACAGGAACATACAGTCAGGGTCCCAGCAGGAAATCCATGCCACACTCAAAAGGGATGATTGGAGAGAATTTAATGAAGGGATTGTTAAGAAAGGAGAGAGGAGAGTTAGTTACAGGAAGGAGAAAGGGATGGTGAAGCATGCCAGGGCCAGCAACAGTAGGAAGCTGCTACCACCCCTCACTGAGTTGGCATGAGCAGTTAGGGAACCCAGAAAGTACTGGAGCTACAGCAGAGGGCTGCCAAACAGGGGCTGTGGGCTTAGATGAAGGGAGGCAGCTGCTGCCCCACAAGGAAGAAACAGCTGGAGCAAATGTCTGAATCTCTCTTTCCTCCAACCCTCTGGTCTCGTGATGGTGCCTCCCACTGGCCAAACCCAGCCAGAAGTCCAAGGGCAGTCCATAGAGGTCACCACTGGGACACAAAGGAGGGTGGAGAATAGCAGAGGGAGATTCTGGAGATTAAGCAGAAGATGGCCTGCACAGCTACGAAGAGTATCCAACCCAGACTAGGGGTGGGCGGAGAGGGTGAGTCTCCCAATGGGGTTGGCTACATGGAGGAAGGGTTTCCTAGGAAGACGGATGATGGTGTGCAGAGACACAGGCATACGAGAGGTATGCTATATTCAGGAAGCTACAGGAAACCTGGTGAGGCTGTAATTAGGGGACAGAGAGAGGAAAGGCTAGAGAGGAGATCAGAGGCTTGTTAAGTGAAACTTGCCGTTCCTCAGAAGAGGAGGAGTAGATACAGCGCTGGGCTTCTCACTCGGTCTCTGCACTACCGACATTTGTTGAGGCGGGCTGTCCTATGCACTGTAGGATGTTTAGCATCCCTTGTTTCTACCCACTGGATACCTGTAACAACCCCCCTGCCCCCAACTCATGATAATGAAAAATGTCTCCCAACATTGCCAGATGTCCCTGGGGCAAAATTATCTCAGTTAAGGGCGCCTGGGTGGCTCAGTTGGTTAAGCGACTGCCTTCGGCTCAGGTCATGATCCTGGAGTCCCAGGATCGAGTCCCGCATCGGGCTC